TCGACGAGTCGGACTAAGACGACAGCGGCTGGCTACTTCATGGCTCTGCTCCACTCCTTCAGTCTCCATTGCAGCACTGCTCGTCTGGTCCATGACGATCGAGAACCACTGCTCCACTACTGATTGCTCCGTGACTCCGCGAGGGACTACCGAACTGAGAGTTGCTCGGCTGCTCCACGCTTCCACTGCTCTACCGCTCTATACCTCTACTGAGCACTGACTAGGTAATTAGGTAAAAAAAAAAAAAAAAGTGGAAAGAGAACGGTGCCACTAACGGCACCGTTATAGTGTCCAGCATGCATGCTGGACACGGGTTCATAGCATAACGATTGTTATACCGCATGTTGGGTTGAAATTTTTTCAAATCGTGACTTGTTTTTTTGCTAACTCGTGACGAGCCAGCCTGGCAGCTCCATATTTACTTATTTAGTCCATCCAAAAAGTAAGGGTAATTTAAACATAACAAATAACGATTCAATCAACTCTAACTCTAAGTAGCAAAACATAACTAATATGGCTCACCGCTCACCAATTCAAATAGTTTTTTTTTTTTAAAAAAAAAAAACAAATTTATTATTATCATATTGATGACTCGAAAAAAGATGTAAAGATTTCTACTCAATTTTTTTTTTAGGTTAACAAATTCGAAGTGACACTAACCTTTAGAGTTAATACCTAAATAATTTTTTGTATTTTATTTAGTTTTCGACTTTAATGATTTTACACACTTTAGTCTTCCGTTAAAAGTTTCGTTGTGTTGTGCCACCCTTTCTTGTGTCTCTTTTTCATGACTATACGAGAACACGCCTTCCTATAAAAAGTGTGAATACATCCATAATTTCTATTTTGGAAAAAATTACAATTATTAAACTTAAGTTTATAATAATTATAGAGTAAATACCCAAAATGGTCCTTCGACTATAGCTAAATTCACAAATTGGTCATTGACTTTCAATTTCAACCAATTAAGTCCTTAACTTTGTAATTTTAACACAATTTGGTCCTCCGTCTATTTGACAGTTTGTTGACCGTGATCTTTGAGGAAATATATGTAATTTTACGATTCAGCATCATCGTCGGCAGCTGCGCCGTCATCGACGATCTCCAGAAGAACCTGCAGCTCTCGTCGGAGCACATGGAGACCTCCAGGATGACGTTGCACCGTTTTGGAAACACGTCGTCTTCTTCGCTCTAGTATGAACTCAACTAGAGTGCAGTCTGAAAATGCAACCGGAACCTTAAAAAACCGACAATGGACCATGAAATTATATATATATATCCTCAAAAATCACAGTCAACAAACGAACAAATAGACGGAGGATCAAATCGTGTTAAAATTACAAAGTTAAGGACTTAATTGGTTGAAATTAAAAGTCGATGATCAATTTGTGAATTTAGCTATAGTCGATGGACCATTTTAGGTATTTACTCATAATTATAAAATGAGTTTTGCTTTTAATTTTTTTTAATAATTATAATATTGAACTCGTATTCTTTTTACTATTGAATCCTTATTATTTAGATTTAGAAATTAGAATGCAGCCCTAAATTTTTTTAAGACTATAGAACCAGTCTCTCACAATATCACACTCGCCGCTCGCAGACTCGTTTGCGCTCTGAAGTCACTGCCTCGCTCTCCAACTCTCCCTCACCCTTGCCGGTTGGCGTTCCCCCGATTTTGTCGTTAACTTTTCTCACCATCGCCGGAGTCGTCGCACAGTAGCTCATCCTCCGGTCTCCGGCTAGGCTCCCTAGCTCCTCGGTAATATATGACATCCCTCTCTTGTTAAGGTTGGGGATTGTTTAACATAAGTATTCTAAGCACTTCACTACTTATTTTCATCCTATCCACCGTATTTTGTTTAATGATTATGGTATCCTGTATGAGTATTTTGATGGAATTAACTGAATACCTAAACGCGTAAATATACTATATATGCGTTGCTTCTTTTCTAAATTTTTTTTTTAGATTTTGATTTTGTTTTGCTGACCTAAGCCTTTATACATTTAGATATTGTTTATGATATATGATTTACATATGTGTTAAAATTTGTTGTTAACATTACTTATGTGTTAAAATTTAGAATTAATTTCACTTTTGGTCTCACGACTTTTGATGTTCTATCACTTTTGGTGCACAACTTTAAATTTTTTTTAATTTTGGTGCCTAACTTTGTTATTTTTATCAATTTTGGTCCTTTTGGCCAAATTGATAGTGAAGTGTTGCTGGATTTTATATTTTTAGGGGTAAAATTGTCATATCAAGGAAACATCTTCAATATCTAAACAAAATCACTGTAAAATCATATCTATAGGTGTTTGATCGATGAGAATAATAGGGAAGACAGGCAGAAACCAGACAGATCTATGGGATTTATAGTTTCGACCATTGGCAAACTCTTCTTTTCCTCTTAATATGATTTTTCTTTTGTTTAAATATTGAAGATCTTTTCATAGAATGATGATTTTGCCCCTAAAATATAAAATTCGGAAATATTTTACCGTCAATTTGGCTGGAAGGACCAAAACTGAAAAAAAAATAACAAAGTTAAGCACCAAAATTGAAAAAAATTAAAATTGTGCACCAAAAGTGATAAGAATTCAAAAGTCGTGGGGCCAAAAATAAAATTAATTCTAAAATTTATACACCTTGATTTACACATAAAGTTATTATCAAATTACACATAAGATGCCTCCAATTTTATTTAGCATTTATTGGCATCATTCATTCTTATATATTGTCTCAACCTGATGAATGTATTAGATTTTACGATACAACGTATGAGATTTGACATTGCGAAACATTTTTAAAAAATTTAGTGTAACCTAAAATGTTCTACTTTTATAACAATCTATTACATTATTTTTTTTTATAATAAAATGGTTTAATTGCTTGCATATTTAAATGACCAATGGTGTAACATTTATTTGAATGCTTTTAATGCATTAAGAAACATTTACATGTCATCTCCATATGACAAAGTAATAATTCTAGAATTTCTTGAGTTACCATGATTTACATATGTTCTGTCGGTTCGGGTGTAAGGGGTCCTTAGAGTTGGGGTTCAACCTTTTGAAAGAATAATTATAGGATTTCTAGCTTAGTCAATAATCAAGCAAAGTCTAACAAGCATGGTGTAAAGTCATTTTGTAATGAAATAGACAACATTTTAAAACATAACTATGAGTTTTAATTAGTATTTCAATTAAAAACCGTATTCTCTAATTAAAAAGAGATATTAGTCCATCTTATATGAATAACAAAACACAACTAATATGGGTCACCGCTCACCAATTCAAATAGTTTTTTTTTTTTTTTAAAAATAAATTATTATTATCATATCGATGACTCGAAAAAAGCTTTAAAGATTTCTACTCACAATTTTTTAGGTTAACAAATTCGAAGTGACACTAACCTTTAGAGTTAATACCCAATATAATCATCCATGTTGTTTTACTCAATTTAGTTCTAAATGACTTTTTGTACTTCATTTAGTCATCAATTTTAATAATTTTACACACTTTAATCCTCTGTTAAAATTTCCATTGTGTTGTGACATCTTTTACTGTGTCTCTTTTTTATGACCATATGAGAACACGTCTTCCTATAAAAGAGTGAACACATCCATAATTTTTATCTTAAAAAAAATTAAAGACTAGAATTTTACAATTATTAAACTTAAATTTATAATAATTATAAAATGAGTTTTGCTCTTAAATTTTTTTAATAATTATAAAATTGAACTTGCATTAAGGAAAGTTAAATGGGATTACATTTACTGAGTTAATCAATTACAATTCATTTACTGTGAACAATTGCGTTAAAGGATTACACAAAAAAAAAAAGAAAAATTGCGTTGAAGGACATCAGTAAGTGCATTAAATTGAATAATTGCAGCAAATACATTAAATTGAACATTCAACTTCTACACTACATTAAGCTAGAATAAACTTCCAAACCCATGACCAATACCATTGAAATTACTAACCAACACTAATATTGCTACAGAAACAAAAAAAAAATAATAATCACAGCTCTACATACACACTTTAACTTTTGATTCACAATAGAATTAAAAGCAATTAGAAGCTTTAGTACTAGCAGTGTATCCAAGCTTTGCTTTTAGGACATCAATTTTGTGCTCGTTTTGATTTATTCTTCTTTAGCAATCCCGAAATAATCATCTTTGATCTTGAACACATGAGTGGGTCAAACTATCTCACCAATCCACACCCACCAACAACCCTCCTCTGTATACAATTTGTGAATATACCAAATAATTAAATAAATAAATCCATAATCAACAAAAAAAATTAAAAAAAAATCAGTTATTCCTCTCTTGTATACAAAATCTATGAGTATACCAAATAATTAAATCCACAATATATATATAAAAAAAATCAGTCAGTATTCCCTTGTATACAAAATTTTTGAGTATACCAAATGATAATTTCAATGTTACTCACTTGGTTATCGTAAGCTCAATCTCAATACCTTCTTCCCGGGTTTTTATTCGTCCATGATGTTCGCATTTTCAATCTTTGCCCACAGTGACAATAAGAGAGGGGTGTGTCGCTATAGTAAACCTTGGGATGACAATTGCTCTCCTCGCTGTCGGCATAGGAACGTTATCTTCAAGATTGTTGTTGAAGTCCAAGCGTGGTCCTCCAATGGAGATTCAAAAGAAGAATGCGTGAAGGAAATAACAAATGGAAGAAGAATGCGTGAAGCTACGGTTCAATTGGTTAAATAAGAGGAGAAAAATAACAATGAAAGTGAAATTCCTCTATTGCTCTGGACTTAAAAATTTTTAACAGCTGACCTAACAGAGGACCATTTTGGTTAACTTTTGCATAATTGAGAATTTTTTTAGGTAAAAAAAATAGTCGAGGACCAAATTGATAATTTTGCAAAATAATCAGAGGACCATTTTAGTAATTAACTCATTTTTTTAACACGGGACTAAAGAACCAGTCTCTTACAATATCACACTCGCCGCCGCTCGCAGACTCGTTTGCGCTCTGGGCTCTCCAAATCTCCCTCACCCTTGCCGGTTGGCGTTCCCTCGGTGTTGTCGTTAACTTTTCTCACCCTCGCCGGAGCCGGAGTCGTCCGCACAGTAGCTCATCCTCCGGGCTCAGGCTAGGCTCCCTAGTTCCTCGGTAATATATGACATCCATCTCTTGTTAAGGTTGGGGATTGTTTAACATAAGTATTCTAAGCACTTCACTACTTATTTTCATCCTAGTATTTTGTTTGATGATTATGGTATCATGTATGAGTATTTTGATGGAATTAACTGAATACCTAAACGCGAATATATACTATATATGCTTTGCTTCTTTTCTAATTTTTTTTTTTTTTTTTTTAGATTTTGATTTTGTTTTGCTGACCTAAGCCTTTATACATTTAGATATTGTTTATGATATATGATTTATGCTTTTACTTGTCTGATTTCATAGTATGTCATTTTGGGCTACACGAATGAAGTAAGTTTTGTATGAACAATTTAAAAAATCAGGATTCTCAAATTGCTGAAGAATTGGTAAAATTTTGAAACATCAAATCAAGTTCATGGCAGGGTTTAGTTTTAAATTCACTTTGCTTAACTGGTGATTTTCTTTTGTTGCACTAGGTAAGAAAATGAAGATGGCAGTAGGGGATTCAAAGAAGATGAGGAAGAACAAGAACAGGAATAGGAGCAAAGAGCAACATGAGGTGAAAAACTCCAACCAAAATGGTAATTTTCCTTGGAATTTTATCTTTACATTTTTTCTTTTATGTGGTGTCTACTAATGCTTTTAATTGATTTCCATGCAATATGTAAGTTTGGTAGATCCAATATGTGTAGGAGAGTCCACTCTTCTTTTCATGAACATCACAAGTTTGTGCAGAAAACTTTGTTTGATGTGTTCAAGTCTGAGGTTAAGAATGGTACAAAGTATTTTGTATCTCCTTGGAAGAAAGATAACTGAAGACAAATATACATGGGCATTTTGGGAACTTGCAATTTTTCTAGTGATGATTCTAATACATTTAACAATATAATTAATCTACTTAGATTTCAGATTTATGATCACATCTAATCATGGATAATGGGTGCAATAAAGTACCCATTTGTCTGGTGTGTTGATGGTAGCTACCAGCCATATGAGATAGCTCTGTGCAATCTCTTATTTTTCCTTTTTCTTTCTTATTTTTATGCAGTACTTAATGCTTTACATTTCACCAACTTGGGATGCTAATATATGGTTTCTTGTTGACAGAAGAAATTTTCCCAGTAGAAAAGGAGGAAAAGAAAAAGAAGAATAAAAGAATGAACGTAGAGTTGAAAAGAAGCAAGGATGAGGCAGATATATCTGATTTATCTTATTCCACAGGTATCTATTGTTGTTTGTATCAAATGATGATTTTTTTCTTTATGGACTCACACCTGAGGTTTACACAGATCAGATGGAGACAAATGGCAGAGGAAAGAAAAAGAAAAGATCGTTAAAGAATAAGAAGAAGACAGAGAATGATGACTCATCTGAAAAAGAAACTGTTATACTTGACCAACCTAATGAAATAGAAGGTGGATTTTGTCAAGAAGATAGTGATGCAAATCAAATTGAAGAAAACAAGGACAAATCAAAAAGAAAGAAGAGAAAAAGTGTGAAGAAGGCTGAAGCAGACAGTGATGGAAATGAAGTTGAAGAGAAACAGAAGGGAAAATCAAGAAAGAAAAGAAAAAGTGAGAAGGCTGAATCAGACAGCGATGCAAATGAAGTTGAAGAAAACCAAAAGGGAAAATCAAGAAAGAAAAGAAAAAGTGAGAAGAAAACTAAAACTGGTGGAGTTGCTAGGCCCAATGTTGATGCTGAAAACATGTCTGAGCAAGAAAATGGTATGGTAGCAAAAAAAGTTGTCTGTTTGTTTTGGTTTTTAATGTTTAAAATGGTTACATTATTATTCCAACTAAGGAAATGGTTTTTTAACATTTAAAAAATAAAATAAAAAATTTGTTAATTTTCTGACTCATGTTCTGACTGGCAATTATGGTACATACATATGTTTCTTCTTTGACCTACCCTTTTCTTTTTACTGCTAGACTAGATGAGTATCATCAGAAATTGTAACATTATTTTATCGGTTTCTAAGGAGGAATTCTAACATGCTACAATCCATTGAACAGTAGGTAAGTCAAGAAAAACTGAGGACTATCCACAACCAAATGCAGAGGAGAATTTTCAGGGAAAAAGTGGAGAAGCTGAAGATGTGTATGAACTATCTTCTGGAGATGAAGATGCCTCTAAAGGAATGCAAAGTATGTTTAGATTGCCATATATCTTATTTTCAAGTTTGTTTGAGAAGCAAATCAATACTAATATTGTCACAGTTACCAATTTTCCAATCATGTTATGGGCCCATATACCACGTTGCAATTATGGGTTAGTTAGCTAAGCAGTATCCTATTATTAGTCCTACAAATTGTTGACCTTGTAGAAATCTAGAATTTGTTGTGTGACACATATCGTGTGGCTTCTTCCCCACAATTTGTTGTCCATTAGTAATTAAATTCCTTTGGACTTTCTGAGAACATAACCTGAGTTTTGTTTTTCTAGATTGTTTGGTTGTATCATTCTCCACTAGGTTAGTAATTTCTTTTTCTTAGCTGTGGAGGACAAGAGTTTGCTTACCAAGATGAATTTAATTCTGAAATACCATCATGTTAAAACATGAGTAGTAGATGTTGTAGTTCCTTCTGATAGATTTCCTTGTTTCATGCAGAATGGATTACGGAATATTATCAGAGCAGACCAGGGTTGCAGATATTGCAAGAAAAGATTGATGAATATATAGTTGCTTATGAAGCAGAAAGGGAACGGGTACTTCATAAATTCCTCATTGCCTGGTTATTTGTTGCTATTATTGATCATAGAAAATTATTGAGGAATATATTAATAAGGATATGTCTGCCATTTCTCACCCCTTCTACACTGTTTGAAATAGATAGTTGTGTATTTTTCTGGCTGAAAGTCTTGACTTTTTCTGCCATACGAGCACACCATTGTTTTAATTTTTTAAAATTGAGAGAACAATTAACTTTATGAAGTGGGATTATATATGCATTTTGTTAATAATCTGCATAATATTAACACACATAGTAGCTGTTATGATATATCTGCAAATATCTTGTGACAGAAGTTTAAAATATCCTGTAATTATATCATTGTCTGTTTTAAACAGTTACGTTCTTCTTTAACACACTAGTCAGTTTCACTTCTAAAATGAGCTTTTTTTGGGACATACAGGAAAGGAAGGAAAAAGAAGCCCGTATTGCAGAAGATGGATGGACGGTTGTGGTACATCACAAGGGAAGAAAAAAGACAACAGATTCTGAAACTGGAATTGCAGTTGGTTCTGTTTCCCAGGCTGCTGTAATTGACAATATGACCAAAAAGAAAACAAAAGAAATTGGACTAGATTTCTACCGATTTCAAATGCGGGAAGCAAAGAGAAATGGTATGACTAGTCAAATGTTAGACCGATTCAATTTTGTCATATCTGCATGCAGAATCCTCTTTGTTGATCCTTCATTTATAAAGATTGAATGGGTCTAATACAACCATTCTCTCTGTTGCTAAAGTTTGGGTTTATAAAGTTAATGACAAATTCTCACAGCCGTTTCAATTTTCAATGCAGAGATTATGGAGCTTCAAAGTAAGTTTGAGCAGGACAAAAAGCGTGCCCAGCAGTTAAGAGCTGCAAGAAAGTTTAGACCTTTATGAATTACAGAGTATCAATTTTACTCGGATGATTTTGTTCCCTTTGCAGGTCTATTTAAATTTTAAAGTGATTTAGTGACATGTCTAATTTATGAAACCGTGTATTGTATTTCCACCCCCTAAGAAGATAGAATTGAGCAGAACTGATCTATGCTGGTTTAAATCTCCTCTAACGGGACTAAACTCTAAAAACATTTTTTCCTGATATTCAGAATGACGTCCCAATTTTTTGAACTAGTAGAGAATCAACTTAATGCTCTGTCTTGATTATATTATCCATTGTGTTTTCTTATAATATTTAAACTAGTAATTATCCGGGCAATGCACGGACTATTATTAATTTAATAAATTTATGAATTAAAACTTTGACATCTTCTATAAATTTTTTAATAAAGTAATGGTTGTAGAAACAGGAAAACATATTTGAGTTTTTCAGCTCAGAATTAATTTTATTAAAAATATAAGTATACGATTAATATTTAATATTTTTTAAAGTTTAATTATGTTATTATTATGTTGATTTTAATGTTTATTGTTATTTGTATTTTAAATAACTACTTTAATACTTTTAATTATATATAACTAATGTATTTAAATAAAATTTGTAAATAAAATAACATGTAATATTTGTTGAAAATTCCACAAAAAACTTATTCATTTGAAAAAATATTTATATAAAAATTATATTTATTTTATATCTAATTTCTCATTTTTATATATGTGGAGTCAAATTAATTATAATTGAGGTTTAAATAAATATATACACAAATCATATTAAATATAAAACTTTATCAATAAATTTAAATACAATAAACTTTTTTCTTACTTCATTTTGTTTTAATATATATAGTGATAGAGATGGAGATATAATAAAATATATATACACATAATAACTTCAAAAAATATGTATAAATACATCTATCTACACAATTAATGCATTCATACTTGTTAATCTTGGTTCTATGACATTTTGTAACATTTTGTGTTTAATTATATATATATATACTATAAATTTAACATGTCGTGTTTATATACTAAATATATTACGAAAAATTAAGTTGTAACTTAATAAATACATGAAAGTGAACAATTAAATTATAAAATATATTTGATTAAATCTCATCAAAATCCTAAAAACGGAGGGGGTACTTACTGAATTTGTGAACACATGAAAAGGATTTGTAATTTTATTGACCGATTTGTAATAAAATAGTAATAGTAGTAATAGTGCAACCAAAGCTAAAAGAAGAAAATCAGAATACGGATAATAATAACACCAAAAACAAATTACTTAAGCACTCAAGTTTATTACCATCACAACATGTTCAACAACAACAAATGAACTCTGAATACGATAAATGTCTGAAATGACCACATAACGTGGACTACTAGATTGTCCACTAATGATTCCACATAACAGAATCTTTATTCCACAACAGGCAAGTAGATAATATAAAAAATACTAATAGAGAAGAAAAACTAGAATCATCTGATTAGAAGTGTTTCTTCTCTCCTTCCTCGTCCTCGTTTTCACTCCAACAGCAGAGCAGGGTTGATCTCGGAGATCCACAACTACCAGTACTAGTGAAGCCACAGTACATAATTGAGCCTCCCTTGCCAAGGGCTTCATAGCTCCTTTCTCCACAGGCATATCCTTTCACATCAAGTTCGAACACAGAATCGAGCTTCTCTCCAATGGAGTCACAGTGCAAAGCAACAGAGAATTCAGCAGGTTGGAAGCAGGACAACACTCTCTGGATAAGGGCATCCAAGTTCACATCTTTGAAATCATAACCCATGGCTTCAAAACTTGCATAGCTGAAGCCATCTTCTGGGGTCACATGAATTGTAGAAATTGTGCCACCCTCAACAGCATTCATTGAGTATCCACATGGTTCGAAATCAAAATCACATATATCTGATCCAGGAAGAATTTTCCTAATGCCTGAAGCATCAGTCATCACAGCAGCAGAACTAGATTGTGTCTTGAAAAACACAGATGCACTCTTCTTGTCCAAGCCAGTCATGCACATCTCCAAGGTATAGATGGGAAATGTGTTTTCTGCAGATTCAGCAGATGCAGAGTAAACATGCCATTGCTGCTGTTTCCCAGCACCACCCATCACATAGGCTTTGCTACCTGTGCCGAGTTTACCAAAGTAACCGTCAAGAATGGCAACTTCTTCAGAGAAATTACGATGCGGATATGGCTGAACCTCAGGAAAGTTAAAACTCCCACGAGTGTATTTCACAGATTTCACTTTGAGGCTGAGTCCATCCGCCAACTCTAGGATGGGAGGGATAGAGAGTAGGAGCTTTGTAGTGCCACAAGTTTTAATGATAATCTTGTATGGGTACACAAAGAGGCTGGATTCAGAAAGAACATAGGAATCAACTTCATTATTTGATAATGATGAGACAATAGTGCACTCAGCTGGTTTAAGAACTTTGTCCAATTGCTCCTTAGAAAGAGCTCGGAGACCCCGGCCTTCAGGGTCAGAAAATATTCCAGCCTCAAAGAATGAGATCTCAAGCCTCTTTTCATAGCCTTCAAATCCAATTGCAGAGGTTGACAAGGCCATCTTGACTTCAATCAAACACAGAGATGTTTGTGTTGCTCCAAAAGAGAGGTTTTTGTTGTTTCAAAAGAGAAAATGCTTGCTGTTTTAAATTAGAGAATAGCGAGGACGAGTGAAGAAGGAAAGTATGAAAGAGCAGATGATATCTTCTAACTAACTATAATTTAACCACTGATTGTGGTTATCAAAAAGCCCCGGGGACCTCAGGATGGTTTGCGAGCACACTGCAAATAAGCAAAGGAAGATAGATGAGGATTATATACCATCTATAAGTGAAAGTGAAACCATCACAAACAAAAGGAAACAATGAAGAACATTTAAGTAGACTCACGTTGGAGTAAGCAGCAGATCTGAATTTCTTGATTCCTCCGTTTGGTCGAACGTCCTCTACAGTGTAACCCAGGGGAGCCTCGTAGAACAAGGATTTACTACTGCTAGACTTCTTTTTCCCACCTTTAGACTCCATCAGTTCATTACACCTGCATATTGGATTCAGCACAGGTAAATCAGAACAAATCATAATAATGTTTCAACGTAATAAAGGGTTAAAACACTTAAAACTATTGTCCAGGACAAAATCATAGCATAAACCAATCATAATTCCTTCTCTACCAGAAGAGCAGATGCTATCCTCCTACAAATTGCAGAAACTAAGGGACAACAAAATGATAAGATTTAAAAACATGCAATTGGTGTTATCCTACAGTAGTCAAGATGAACTCAAACAGTATTTAACAACAAGTGCCTGATGATTCATTAATCATTCCTAACAACCTAAGAATCTAATATTAGAACGAATGACCCTGCTGCAATCAACGCTAAACCGTGCATTTGTACTTCAAAGACCAATATCTTTAGAATTTTCAAAACAGAATCCATACTTTGGAATAAATTCGACAGAGAAAATATACCAGGCCAGAAATTAAATAAAACGCAAAGCATCAAAGTTAAAAAAGACAAAGAAATAATGTTACGAATCAATATATGCTATTTTTTTAAAAAAATATCAAAATAACGAAAACTGATAAACGACATCCAAAAAATATACATTAAGGCAGTCAAATTCCACATCTCTACGAGAACAATTAAATCTAGAAAAATAAGAACCGTAACTTACAGATCAATATGGAATATGAAACTTGTAACGATCAACTGTCGTTTAATCCTCCTCTATCAAAGCCTTCGAGCAATCAAAACTGAAATCAAAATTAACAGAAACCTCAATCGACAATCCAACCAACATGCACGTCATTAAATGCAAATCAAATTAATACGAGTAAGAACAACAGATGATTACCGTCTTCCTGGCTTCCTGCTCCGTATGTAAAGCGGCCGAACGAGATCGTAACCCTAGCAGCGGAACTTTCTCGACGGCGGAATAAGCGGTTAGAGAAAGGGAGGGAAATTTTCTAGAAAAGGAATAGCTTCTCAGAGGTTCACGAGACGTGAATGAGCGGATGAATTTGCAAGACCCAGGGCCGTTATATATACGCGGTGGTGGGGGTTGGGCAATAGTACGCCACATATTTCGGAGCACATTTACGGTCTTACCCTTCCGGAATTGTGTGGAATTTGGATTCCTAGTTATTTAATGTGTATGCATTATGCAATGTAACGGCGGCTGGACTAACTTTAATTTTTGACTAATCTGCCCTCGTCTAATGTAAATTGAGAAAAGGCTCTTTAATTTCGCATAAAAAATATTACTCACAAGGAATCTTTTCCAAGACGGAAACCTCCCAGAAAGAGAGAATTTGATTCAACCGATGACTCTTGTTTTAGCAAGGGTGTTGCTATTTGCACCCCCTTTGACCAAAAGTAAGTATAAAGTATTTTGAAGTTATAAAAAGGTGAAAATTTTTAATAATTAATAGGTGGTGTAAATAGCTAAATAAGGGTCATTTTGCTATTTGCACCACTTGGTCAAACCTCATTTATGATGTGTGATTAATAATATTTTAATTCAAACTCTAATTAATTAAAATATTAAATTAAAAAAAATTGAACCCCGTCACTGTTTTGCTTGTTTTTGTTTTTTTGTTTTTTTTTTTTGTTTTTGATTTTTTAATGCTAATTATTTATAAAATATTTTTTTAAGTTTTTATTTTCAATACATATATTTTTAAGTTTCTATTGTCAATACATTTTTTTTGTTCAATATATATTTTTTGTTCAATACATATTTTTTCAAAGTTGCTAATTGTAATACATATTTTTTTTTAAGTTTATAATTTCAATATATATATTTTTTAAGCAATTATTCAATATTGATGTTTGTGAGATGAAATTACTGGTAATTTGGGTGGCAGAGAATACAAATTGGACTCATATGACTATATATATGTGTGGTGGCTCTATTTGGCAGAGCTTATTTAGGAGCTTATAGCTTATTTTAAGCTACTAATAAGCTATAAACTATGTTTTGTAATGTTCATAAAATAAGCTTCTAGCTTAAAATAAGAGCTTATTTTGGAACGCTACTTTAGGTAGCGTTTCAAAATAAGTTCCTAGCTTCCTAACTTTTTTTCCATCTTTATCCTTATTATTTTAAAGAAATGACATAATTTACCCTTCTCAATTAAAACTTTTTTCTCTTCTCTTTTAATTTATCTGCAACTTTCACCGCAAATATTATAATTCAAATATCTTTTTACCAACCGTTGATATAATTCGCTGGTCAAATCCGCTAACGCTAACCGCTAACTGCTGATTGTCAAACAAGGATATCGTGACGTAGTTCTCACTTCAATTTGTTGTGTGATTTGAATACTTTCTTTGTCAACAAATCCCTCAAGTAGTTAATATGATTGGCTTTATTAATTATATTTTTTAAAATTTTTCATGGTATTAATAAAATACTTGGTAAATAAACATATAACATTACTTATATTATAACTTTGATATTTAATTAAAAAACAGTGCACAAAAAAAAGATAATAGACAATGTAGTGAATATAATCAATTAATAAATCTGAATGTAAAGAATTTTTACATTGGAGAAAAATAAAGACAATATAACTAATAAAATTATTTCTCTTAATTAATTTAAAGACAAAATGTTAAATTTTAATATGTAAACAAACTAATGTAAACAGAGCCTATGTATCACACAATCTATAAGTCATGGATCATTAGATAGAAGATTTTTTTTTTTTTATTACAATAATCATAATCAAAGCCAGTTACTTAGTTACAATGATCAAAATCAAAGTCATAGACATTATGAGGTATTTTAAGTTGTTATTTGAATTGTTGTTTATTTCTATGAGTGTTGCTATTTGTATTTTAAGCCAGTTTGTTCTTCCTTGCTAGGTAATTAGGACTCATTTAAATTAGATATAATTTCTCAATTGACTAAATAACAATCTCATTGTTCCATTTCAAGAGAGAAAATTATAGTATAAAGAGTACTGAATTTGTGATTTTATTTATTGGGTGACTTGTGAGTCTATCTATATACTGAATTAATTTAATTTGTTGTGAATAGAGTTGTAAATTAATCAATTTATTGTATTTACAGTAATACAATATAAAAAAGATAGGTAGAAAATCAATTTATTGAGTAATATTGAGTACATAGAGCAACATATACTACAAAGAATACACAATTGTAGGAAACTATTTTACAGAGACGGAAGAACGACCATAAATACAAAATTCAAAATAGAAAGAGTGTAGGAACACATGCAGTAGACTTATTTTATGATTAGAAGCCTTTGACCTCCACTTATTTTATGATTAGAATTTTAACTACATCAAAATTGTTAGAACTCTAACCCATATATCTTTATAAAATTGTTACAGTATTTACAGTATAAAAAGATAAGTAGAAAATCAATTTATATTTCAAAGTCTCAATAGAACTATAACCCACATATCTTTATAGAATTTTAACTACATTAAAATTGTTAGAACTCTAACCCACATATATCTTTATAAAAGTTAGGTAGAAAATCAATTTATATTTATTTATTTCAAATATCACTAGTAATCATTTTATATTTCAATTTATAGTTAAATCAATTTAAAATAATATATACAACAAATTTGAGTTATAAAAAAATTAAAATAACAAAATTAATTATTATTTCTCTTTATTTAAAATTAAAACATAAACAAAAATAAGTATTGAAAATATAAACTTAAAAAAAGATGTATCGAACAAAAAAAAAGATGTATTGAAAATAGAAATTTAAAAAAAATATGTATTAAAAATAAAAATTTTAAAAAATATTGAACAAAATAATTATGCATTAAAACATAATAATAATAATAATAATAATAATAATAATAATAATAATATAATAATAATAATAATAATAAAAAGAGATTGATTATTAAATAAAAATAAAAAATAAAGATTAATGTTTGACTACATTTAATGAGGTGGTGCAAAAAGCACTTTTTTATTTGCACCACCTATAAAGCTATTACACCTATTAAATAGGGGGGTGTAAATAGCAAAATGGGTGGTGTAAATAGAACTTCCCTTTAGCAATAGTGTAGGATTTAAATTTCACTAAAAATTTATTAAGTGATTTTGACCAATCAAGGAAGATAAAAAATTGTTGTGTTTAAAATGTATAGGAAAGATGTAAAAATCTAGGATGTTAATGATTCTTATTAGACAATGAATCTGCAAAATTTAAGATTAGTCTAAGGTTAAGCTGAAATACTTTATATATCAAAAAAATAATTATAAATTGATGTGATATTGTTATATTTAATTTTCATCTCTAATTTTATTTTGAATCACAAATTTATTCATAAAAAAAAAATATTTTCACCCTGATGGATATCTGGAGTAGGGTACCCAGTCAGGAGTTCAGAGTTTGCACTTGACCACACTATCGAGAATACTGGAGGGACTCGATAGTCAGGCTCCTCACGAAGACATTGGATTTGTTTGGGTTTGTTTGGTAGCCCAACGTAAACGATCTGGTTATAACGTTCGACTAGGTGTCGTGCCCAGAGACGGTTACAGGAGATGGTCTCCTCTAACTTAGGGGCGGAATTTCCCTTTTCAGCATTAGCAATATTTTTTTTTTTTGGTATTATCGACTCTGTTATAATGTAGTTTCTGTTCAATATATTTTATCCTTATGTTGTAACCTAAATAGTCAATATCACATTACTAGGATTCAATTTTGTGACCTTTCCTGAAAGACAGCTATAGATGTGTTAACTAAGCGCGAGATGTAACATTGGTGTTTTTGGTTTGGGTGCCACCTAGCAAATGATATATTTATTATAGGAATGGAGTGAGGTTGGGGTAGGAAAAAAATGTTGAATTGCATGAGTAACGTGTGGTGAGCGGTGGGAAGATGTTAGATGAGTTACTCCACCACCAAGCAAAAAAGGGGAGGCAGGCAAGGAAAGCGCCAGCTGGATATGCCTGTCATTTTGTTTCTTCTTCCCGTCTTTTTTCGGAAGATTTTTGCCCACTTCCACGCCCGCCTAACGTCCTGTCTTCCATTTTCCTATCTCCCTCCTTGTCCTCATCTATTTTTCCAACGTCCTCAAACCCAACTTGTGATGTGGCAGGAACGTCGCCGTCACTTTCAACGCAGATTGACGGAAGTAGCCCTGTGTGCTAAAATGTGCACCAATAATTGCATTAATTGGTATCAGTTTTTGTGTTGTATAGACGACTAAGACGCCTTATTATCTTAATAGTACGGAGTAACATTTATTTATATCTATATATTCTATTCTATATAAATAATAACATAAGTGATTGTCCCAATTTTCTGCCTAAACTTAGGTTTACCCAAAATTTTCAGCCTCTCATTCTACAATTCAACCAAACATTGTATTATTGTTTCAATCTTTGTCTCTCTTTCTGATCCATGACTTCCATCGCCACCCATTTCTCGATCTTCTTCATCTACTTCCTTCTATCCTCATTCCATCTTCGTGCAAGAGACATCCAGTTCTTCAACCAAATACCTAGCAACAACAACGTTGTTAACAAGGTCCATACAACATTGATCCCGCAAGAACAACAACCCAACTTGTAGGAAATTGAAAACGGCAGCTATGGCCTTTACGGCCGTGAGTCTACCACCAAAAATATTTGAGGTTTAGGTTTGGGTTGAACTCTTTGTGCATAAAAGTGTATAGTTTGGTCTTGTGTCTTAAAACTAAATTGACTCATTTACTTTTTCAGACTTATTATGAATTTAAGATATAATTTGGTGAATTTGGAAAACTTAATTTATAAAAGATGACGATTTTTATAGATCTGAATGGGTAAAAATGTCACAAATTAATCTTGAACTAGGTAGCATACAAATGACGGAATAGAACATATGTAAACGCATTATATAAAACATTAGGTAAGCATACAAATATACAAAAGATTAATGGATTTATGCTACACAACATATCTAAATTTTCCCATATAATCTCCTGATGTGACCATAGTGTCGGATTTTATTTTTTAATTGTTAAGTTGATTCCTTTCGGAATGAAATC